TTCTTTTTGGGGGATTGTGGGCGATGACATTTCACATCGATTAGAGAGAACGATGCCACTGTTTACATTCCTAGAATACTACGTTGAAGTTTAAAATACTTCAACACACCAGATTTCCTCAATAACTTGAGTGTTTTTTTTTTTTTTTTGGTTTGGTTGTGAAGGGACGCCATAAAAACAAATACAAATCCTTATTTCAAAATCTCCTACTTTTCTTTCTTTTTAACACTGCCCACTCTCTACACAGGGTGCAAATTAACCACTAGGGCACCAGCGCCCAAATATTTGCTACTTTTCTGGATCAAAATGTACTGTTAAAAACAACCCATCCCAAAAAATGTCTAAATTTAAATCAGTTGTACATTGGTTGAGTCTTATCATTGTTTTGGTTTGACATTTAATCACCAATTGACCAATTATCAGTCTCTGGTTACTTTATTTGTTCTCGTAGGTAAATGTGTTTGCAGGGAGAGTCCCATTTTACACTTTGATTTATTAAGCACAGACAATACATCAAACATAAAAAAGTGAAAATGCATGGCAAAAGTGCATAAACTGCACAGATAATCGGAAAACTGATAAACAAAGCCTGGACCACTTGATATTAGCAGACCAATTTCTAACAAGGCTTTTTAAACTTGCAGAAATCTCCTGAAAAACTCCTGATATTTCCAGGAGCAGCTGTAGGTGTGAACGCAAACAGTTGCTCCTCCAGACCTCTAGTACGGTATTTTCTCTGCAGTTAGTCCGAGTGAGCTGATGTGAGAATACAGGCTAGTGTTCTAATGTGTCCCGCACTCAATTGTTTTAGTGTTAAAGGTTTGACCCGGTTAATGATGGCTCATTAATGCAGCTCAAAGTTGGTTAGTTGGCTTATATTTCCATAACAAGAAAAAGGATATTCAGCATTTTTGTTTGCGGGGAATGAGAGTAAAAAGCATATTTAAAGGTCACATATTCTGCAAACTCCACTTCACCATGTTTCTCTAACACTAACATGTGTCTCTGTCTACAAACCCCCCAATGATGAAAAAAAGTCCATCCTCTCCGTCTTTTCCTGCTCCACTTTTCAGAAAATGTGTGCTCAAACAGGTCGTTTGGAGATTTTCCCTTCATGACATCACAAAGGGCAGTAACCCCTCCCCAGTGGGTGACACTGCCACAGCTAGGTGTTTGTTTTGCCCTGAGTCTGCCTTCTCACTGTAAACAATAGGACATGGAGCGAGAAAGCCCGAGCCCTGCCAGAGAGGGGGCGTGGTCAGACACAGCTCATTTACATTGAAAGGTACAGAAACAGCCTGTTCTGAGCAGGGCTGAAATAGAGGGGTTTATAGGCATGATCAAATACAGGATCAGAGTGGATTTAGAACAAGAAACTTCACACACATGTTTTGAGGAGCTCTGAGACTTATTTACACTGGTTGAAGAGGCGGAGAATACGTGACCTTTAATCAATCCTGATACACCCACGACATGTTGTCGGTATCGAGACATCTAGAACAGTTCAGGCATCAAAGAGATAAATACCGCACAGTCTCAAAGGCAAAATTGACACGTTTCTTATTTCAAAATGTTTGTTTTTGGCAGCCTAAGTGAGAATAATTTGTACATGTTTGGACAGTTGGAACAACCTCGACGTTAATCCCCAGGAGAACACGTTTAATCGTCACGTAAGCGGTTTGGTACGAGTGGAAGCTAAAAGTATGGTGCCTTCATTTGGAGTCGTCCTGTAACCGTATGGTGACATTTGCACACTTTGTAGACTTTACCTTCTCTCGATATATCGTGTAACATTTTGTTGATGTTTTATTTTCAGCAGAATATGAAGAACATTAGTGTAAAGTGCAACTTGCTGTAATATATTTCCTAGTTATTGTACAGTGCCCGTGTTTTACCAATGGCGGTGAAACTGCCCGGGAGGACATATTTCCCAACGTTATGTTTTGATTCCCATGTAATACACTGAAGGAAGTAAAGCATCTGCATATTTTAGCCAACCCCTTTTGTTGTTTTGAGGTCAAAATCGTCATATCAAACTGAATAATTTTCTTACTCGTTCTCTCAGGTTATTTCTCAGTGGCCCCGAATGTTCTCGATGCATATGATATTCAGAAATGTGAAGCGATGTTTCTCATGTCATGTTTCTAAAGTCAAATATAATGTGTACTGTTCAAATATTAAAGAAAAGGATGTACTGAAGAGCTGTGTGGTGTTTGACGCTGGATTGTATGATTTAAAAAAAAAAAAAGTAAACGCACAAGGCTGGAAACGAAGAAAAGTATTGACCAGAGCTGCTGGAAAAGCTGGTACATGACGCGGTCTAATTTGGGGATTTTCCCAGAAAGACAAAAGGTTTAAACTGTCTTCCTGCGGGACGATTTCTGTTGTATTCAGTGAAGTCTACAGCTCTCCTGCTAGCTACAGTACGGTAGTCAGGCTATGGTGAAATTTCTAAATTACCGACCTATAGCAAATAGTGCTGCCCGACTCCGCTGGTCACTTGTTGACTTTAATATAGGACTCTTTCAGTCAAAAGGGCGCTCCACAAGGTTAATGCTAACCATAGATTGTACAAATCTGGTGAATAATGCTGCGTTCCAGTTGATCTGGGAAGTTGGAAATACCAAGTTCCCAGTCGGAAGTGTCATCTGGAACACCCCCTGAAATCCTAATTAGGACATGGAAACTCGGAGAACCTTCAGTAGCCCGAGTTCAGATCCAATATGGCTGCTACGTGCAATCGAAAGGGATGTTTAATCTGTAACTGTTGAGCTTAGTCCTCTTTTTCTGTAATTCAATAAATCAGACCGATGGTACCGTGCTTGTTCTCTCTGTGGAGGTGTTTTCATCGTCTGGTATTAGCTAACAAAACAAAGCTACTCCTGGAGGCGTCCATGTTGCTTTTCTGACTTGCAACTGGAACGCAGATAACTCGGGTGTGACGTCATTCCGAGTTCTGTGATCCGAGTTCCGAGGTAAATGGAACGTGACATCTGACGCACTTTTAATACCTAGTATCCAGTTAGACAATAACAAGAATCTCCCATGAGCGAGCCCTTTGGAGACGGCAGCAAGAGAAAAAAAAAAAGGCAGAAACCTTGAGCAGGACCAGACTCTTGTTGAACAGCCATCTGCAGCGACAGGACGGGTCTAAGGTCGTATTGTAGTTGAGGCTGACGCTGACTGAGACCAAGACATACCAGAGACCAGAGTGCTTCATGACCAAGACAAGACCCTGACATTTAGGGATCGAGACCAAGACCAAGTTAAGGCGAGACTGAGTCAAAAAGTGGTCTTGAGACCAGGGAACAATCTTAGGTTCTTTATATCACCCATACTTACATACACTTATATGCTACAACCTAAAGCATATATAAGATTTTATGATTTGATTCGGCTTTGATTCACCCTTGCTGATGACTCCAGCCATCAGAGCGCTGTAGAGTTCTGCTTTGGTTCTGTCATCACTTTTATTCGCCGTCCACTTCATTAGGTGACGTTCATTCTTTCTATTTTTGGTTTGGTCCACTCACCACATCTCTCAAGAAACAACTGATGGATTTCTTCTCTTGCAGGGTGGGGGGGAGGGGGGTGGACGCTGTGAAAACACTTAATGCCAAGAAATTACCAACGAACACCACAAAAACCTAATGGGACTATCTTTAATGATCTTATGTAACTTGAAACAGTTGTGGGAACTCTTAAAACTGGAACATCCATCTTCTAGACCCTTGAATATTGGAGCTTGTATGATGGCCGTCCATCAGATTTCCCAGTTAAATTAATGACTATAGTACTAACAGTTGGTTGTAGGGTCCTTTAGGGATCGGCTGTTCTTTCATGAATGGTTTGACTTTTCTTGGTTTCACATGCTGGTGTTTGTCCATCAACGGCAGTCTTAAAAGACCCCCCCTTCCAGTCGTCTGTTTGACTCGCCCCTCTCCAAGAAAAATACTTGAGCTTTGCTGCTTTTTCTGTCTCCATTTCCAAGATGGAGAATCAAAATTACTGTCTAAAAGTATATGTTAAAAAAGCATCTGTAACGTTGTTGATATATAAAGAGTTAATTTGCAAACAATATTCCATTCTCTAACCAAATAACCCAACATTAGTTCAGTTGGTATTCTCAGGGATATACAAAAACTGTATAAAGTTGTTGTGTTTTTCAAAAAAGGGAGAAATTATAGCAACCAAAGTCGGTTAACTTTGAACTTAATTGACAACAAATGCAATGTTTTCTGTTTTCATTCACCACCACTCAAGCATCTTTCAGCTCATATGTCAATATTAAAGCTTCAGAAATGCTTTTCAGCTGTTGGCTGTTTGCCTTCCAGACCAAATGTCTGTGAGAATAAGTCTTCTTTGTAAATGTCCATTAGTTGTTTAATTTCTAACCAACACATCTCTATAAAGTTATTTTTTTCTCTGAACGTTTGGTCGTAGTCTAGCTCTTTCCTTTGTGTCTTTCTGCTCAGAAGCTTCTGCTTGATCTTTGTTGGAAAGGTTTTCTTTTCACCAACCAGCTGCTTAATATCATCCATTTAGCTTAGTCTTAAATGACACTATTGAAACTCCCCTCTGAATTTTTTGCAACCCATCCACCTGCTGCCCCCTTAACTTTCATCACGTCTGCTCCCAAGTCCCCCTCAAAGAAAATCTATCTCAAGACCACAGCTAAGTATTCATACACAATCTTCTTTGCATCAAGTCCTATCTTTCTTATTTCCTTGTTTTTTTGCTTTCTTCATCTTTTGGGTTTCTTCTCCAGACTCACGATAACTTATTTTTATGGATCTGGAGGAATAATGCAATCAACAAAACAGTATAGAAGGAGGCAGTTATTTATATTAATGAGATAGGGAGGAGATTTCCAGGGTGAAGGGGTGAAGGGGAGGTCAGATATTCTGTTTCAGGCATCCCATTGGTGTCTAAGCAAATCAACTTCCATAAAGAGAAGGATGGGGTTTCCTCTTCCTTTTGGAAATGCAATATAAACCAACTTATAGTCGAAAAACAGAGCAGCTTCCCAAATCCGTCGCTCCTTCTGCTTCTTCTTCTTCTTCAACTAAAGGGTGAGAAGTTGTTTTCTTTTCTCGCCTGTTGGTTTGCAAATTAGAATTACAACCATTATCCTTTGTTGTCATGCAAGATTTTTGGTTGTTTCCTTCTAGTATGTCACTAATAGTTGATTGTATATCGGTGAAAGGAATTGGCTTGTTGGAGAGTTATTGCAGGTTGAATGTGGTGATGATGATGACTCAGCAGCTTTTGGATCTTAAAATGGTTAAATTTAAGACTGAAGTGACCGCTGCTGCAGGCTTGTAGTGCCAAGTTATGAGGTGTGTTGGTGTAAATGGACTCCAGAGTCTGAAAATGATAGTCCCAGTGTTTTCATTCTGTGTTGTCACATGTTTGAATATTTTTTAGTGTCCAAGTACAATCTGTCCTGATTGTTGGTCTGAGTGAATTGTGTATTAAATCTGTACATACTTTTGTGTTTACCTGAATGGTCAAACAAATATGACTTTAACTCAAGACACCACTTTATTTTGCAATTATAACAGTTTGTTATGAAGGAAGTATGAGAAGATTGCATTTTCATTTTAAATAACGATAATGTCTTTACGCTGATGATACTCTGCTTTAACTTGATAACAAGTATCTTCATGTTTACTTGAATGGTCAAACAAATACGACTTTAAACCAGGACACACATTATGATTATAAAATCTGGGCCGGCTTTGACTCAGTGGTTTGGTGGTCTCTAAACTGGAAGGTCAGGGGTTTGATCCCCAACAGGATGTCACATGTTGAAGTGTCATTGGGCAAGACACTGAACCCCAAATTGCTATATAGATATCAGAAAACAGATTATTGAACTACATAGTTGTGTGTTCTCCCACTGCCCAAACTTTTAGATAATACACATTTTTTTGTTTGAGTAACAAAACCTAAGGAGCATGACATTTTGTTTTGTTTTACAACAATAGTTCAACGTGCTGATTTTAAAGAGGACATAATTATTATCCCCCTTTTCCACCTTTTCAAACAGTCCCCTGTACTCTAAATGAAACATCTGTGCTGTGCTTTGGTCAAAATATAACATGAATCAAACACCAGAGGAGGTTTGTGACCCTGTATAAACCAGCTCTCTCAGAACGCGCCGTATTGGTGTGTGTGTCTCTTTAAATGCAATGAGCCCCCCCCTGAGTTTTCCCGGTAGACATCACTCCATAAAAATGGAGTACATTTTTTTTTTTTACCAGAATCCCACTGTGACATCACAGGGAGAGCCCATTTGAAACGGAGCATTTTTCTTTGTGTTGTAAGACTTATGCAGACCACAAACAAAGGATTGGATGGATTTATTTCACATTTTGTGGGTCAGTAGACACTCAGGTTATCCAAATTTATGTTCAAAAACACTGTAGAAGAGGATTTTTCATTATATGTCCCCTTTAACAACACGTAATTGCTAAATTTTGTACTCAGGGTCTTCAGCTTTCAGGCCTTAACTTTCAGTTCATCTAATATACCAACTGTTAGGTTGAATAACTACTTACAGCTAGAGAAGACTATATATTTAAGATTTTTCTTTTATTTCCAAATTATATTTTCATCCCGACACCTATAAAAAATAAAATGCCCTAACAAAATTAAAAAATTACTGGTTCTTGTGGCTGTCATGTGCCTGTCAATCCATACATCTGGCAGGACCAAATGAAACTATGATTTTTGTAAGATATTTTTAAAATGTATGTTGCTATTACTTTTAAAACATTTAAAGGAAATTCAACTTTTCTCTCAAATCCCAAATGTATAGTACTGTTTTACGTTTTCTTTGAGGCTCTTTGATTCTGGGATAACTTAGTATTTGAAGTCGAACTTCAACTTTTGCTGCTTTGCTAAAAGTTCTCATGATGGATAGGCCGGATCTTTGTAACATAGCAATAAGTAAGGTCTTTTACCTGCTTTTTGTAACATAACAATGAGTAAGGTCTTTTTACCTGCTCTTTTGTAATGTTAACAGACAAAGAGTAAGGTATTTTACCTGCTTTTTGTAAAGTGTCTCGAGATAACACTTATTATGAGTTGACGCTATACAAATAAAAATTGATTGATTGAATTGATGTATCATTTAAAAATTACAATAACTTCTTTACGCTGACGATACTCTGATTTATCTTGTCATGTAGTTTTAATGAATTTAAGGTATTTGCACTTAAACATGGGTGATAAAGAAAAATGGTGTAATTTACTTAATAACATTATTTAAGATTTTTGAATATTACAAAGCAAATTTCTTCAACTTAAAGTAAGTGTATATAATAAGTATGACTGCTAAAAATATGTGTACATTTAAAAATTGAATCATGAATATACTTAGAGTCCATCAGAGTCCAAAGGAATTTTTCTGATTTTGTGAAGTTGCCTCCAAATTCTCAAGATGGCGCATGCTTTTGATATGATTAGATTTTGTGTATGCATCTTTTTAAAATCATGTTAATCAGGAAGTGTTTGCTCAGAGGCTGTTTTCTACCAAAACAAATTTCAGGAAATGTTTTTTCATATTGGTAGCGAAAAACTAAATCTATTACAGTCTATTTACAACTCTATTCCCTCATAGAGAAATAATTGTTGCAACATCTTTTAGACCATTTAGGGAAAGACTGGACAGCGTCTGTTTTGGATGCAGTGATTGTGCTTCTGGATTGTGTACTGCTCGCTCTCTATTTTCAGAGAGCTTAAGTTATGTTCAGTCATGTCAGCGATGTTTTGTACCACCAGAGAAGGTATCAAATGTTTCCTGATAATCTTCCAGAAGACAAGAGCTTTCATGACAGGGAGTCCATGGGGGGGGGACAAATGGCCCTAAAATTCTTGTCCAAATTTAGATGAGCAGTTTTTCCTTCAGACAAACAGTTGATGCTCCTGGTTGGTGTAACGTTTCATCTAAGTGGATTTATGTTTTTCCTTGAGACAAACAGTTGATGCTCTGAGTTGGTGTTATGTTTCGTCTGTGTGGATTTATTATTCTGGGAAGTACGTAAAGATGCATTCCAATCATCAACCTGACCCTGTTTTAAATCAAGACCACGACTGATGAGCTATTTTTCCACATCTATACACTGTGATAAGAAGGAAAACGCCTCTTTCTAAAACAACAAATAACTTCAATTCGTTTCGATTTCTATCCCTAAGGTTACGACCGAAAACATCCATGCACTGCTTTCCAGCATCTATAACTAATGCTAATTTCCGATGCCTGTCCCTGGTTCATGTTAATGGTTCTGTTGTGATGTTGGCTTAATGACGTCCTTGAACATTTGATTGTTTTCAGTTAATGTGTCAGAATACGAATTTGGGATGTGACCAGACATAAAAATGAAAGGTTACATATCCTCCTCCTCTTCAACCAGTTTAAATATGTCTCAGAGCTCCTCAAAACATGTGTGTGAAGTTTCTTGTTCTAAATCCACTCTGATCCTGTATTTGATCATGCCTATAAACCCCTCTATTGCAGCCCTGCTCAGAACAGGCTGTTTCTGTGTCTGTACCTTTAAATGTAAATGAGCTTTGTCTGACCACACCCCCTCTCTGGAAGGGCTTGGGTGTCTCTGGCTTTTTCGCTCCATTCCCTATTGTTTACGGTGGGAAGGCAGACTCAGAGGGCAGAACAAACACCTAGCTGTGGGAGTGTCACCCACCTGGGGGAGGGGTTACTGCCCTTTGTGATGTCATGAAGGGAAAATCTCCAAACGACCTGTTTGAGCACACATCTTCTGAAAAGTGGAGCAGGCTAAAGATGGAGAGGATGGACTTTTCTCATCATTGGGGGGTTTGTAAACAGACTAGAGACACATGTTAGTGTTAGAGGAAAATGGTGAGAGTATTTGCCATAATATGTGACCTTAAATATTCATTAATTAAAACTTTCATTCATAAATATATTCTTGGTTTTCCTGAGAAATTTAACTGATCTATAGCCAATGTTGTGTTGATGTGTTTTCACCTTACTTCAATACTTCAAAATGGAAAATTGTGTTTTTCTGCAGACTCTCAAGTCAAACGCCAAGATGTCTGAGTGAGTAATTTTTCTTTATTTCTTTAGTTGTGTTTATTCTACTTTGGATTAAAAACACTGAAACTCTAAAATGCAATTTTTACAACAACGTAATGTTGAAAAGAGGACTCCATGTTGTAGAAATGATGCATTAACAACATGTATTCAAAAACCCTCCAATTTGTTCTGTTACTGAGTCTCAAAATAATTGTCATTTTATGCACTACGTTAAAATGATTTCAACGGATGTTCCCTTCTTCAAGTTATCTAAGAAAAGTGTTTCAGGACCTTTCTGATACCATTTCCCTTGTTTCACACAGTGGATAAGATACCAATACAAGGTTTATTTTTTACATCTCAAATTCCTCTTTTTTTTAAAACAGGAAAAAAATATCTTCGAGTCGTAAGCATCAACTGAAGGTAAAAGATTCTCCATATTTTCTACACTGTTGATTCAACATGTGGTTTCTGACATGATGTCAGGTTTTGTTAGATGCTGATTTACTGTCATGGTTTTCGGATGTGAATAAATGAAGAGAGATATAATTTCCACTGGTAAAAGTAAACAAAACATGTTCGATTCACGTCTAAATTTTTTGTGCGACAGAGTTTGATGCTCTCCATCGCCAAAGGTTTACTGGAGGAGGAAGAGAGGGAGCAAGAGAGGGAGAGGACCAGGTACATGGCAGAGACCTGTCCTTCTGTGTCCATGCCCAGGAGCATGCAGGAGCTGCAGGTATGTACTCAAATAAACCCTTGAGTATAATAATATGGAGTGCTTCTCTGTCTACTTCAGTTATATAAAAGTGAAGCCAAAATACCCCGAGGCGGGCCCAAGTAAAGTAATAATGAGCTATCCCAGAACTTCCACCAGACACATGTGCATTGCGTGTCCGGGCGGCACAGCCGGACAGCTGGAGTGCTGAGACAAAGGCGTTCCCGCGGAAATCATAGATTACACCATCAACCGTCAAAATATGTATGACTTCTAGTCCCTCTCAATCTTTTCTGTGGTAAATTGATGCGCTGTTCTCCGGCATCGGGGAAACTTTATTAAACAACTGTCAATGCTCTGTCCAGATTGAACTCGTACAGTGTTAACACTCAAGTCGGGAGCTTTGGTCATGGATCGTAAACGATTTGGTGGTACAGTGTGAGCTGACATTCCCCCACAAATTTCGTATAATCTAACAGCGTATGCCGGTCTTTAGCCATTTTTATATTGAGATGCATGAAGTTCCAAAGTTTTGGGGAATAAAAACAGATTATTAAACGTGATATATTTATATGATTCTTTTCTGTGTTAATTCCTCCATGGGATATGCAGTTTTAGTGCCAATGATATAAGTCAAATAGAAACAAACTTTGCCTGTTTTCAATGCGTAATTCATCATAACTCTGTGTGGTTTTTCTTTTTTCATATTACCAACCAGTGTTAGTTTCAGTAACCAGATTAAGTCGACGCTACATTCAGGTTGAGTTCATGGATAAGTTTAGTGTCTTCACTCTTCTTTGTATTTCTTTTTTAGGAGCTGTGCAAAGAGATCCACCACAAGATCGACGTGATCGATGAGGAGCGGTACAACCTGGAGTTCAAAGTCACAAAAACCAACAAGGAGGTAGACAACATTATAAAAAAGTGATGCTGGTAAAAAATAAAGAACATCTGCGAGTAACATTAAATTATAAACGTTGGCTTCGTATGGCTCATGGCCCTCGAAGGGCTTTCCCTCAACTCAAGACTGTGAGAGCAATCTTTGGCAGCCACGAATCGAGCCCAGGACCAACTCTTCAAGCGGACTTAGGCTTGGCAAACAAGTACAGTACGAGTACAGGACTCTTGTGGTCACACTGATCAAATGAACCAGACTTTGGGGTCTAGCGTACTTGGATCCAGGGCCCAGGTCCCTAGTGTGAAACCACTCTTCGTTATTGAAGATTGACAGCAATTGAAATCGTAATAAAAGACTAAAAGAGGAAAGAAGATGGTGGGGCGCCGGATGGTCTAGCGGTTATGTCGTGCGCCTCATGTGCAGAGGCTGTAGTCCAAATAAAAGCAGCCGTGCGTTCGAATCCGACCTCGGCCATTTGCAGCATGTCATCTAATGAAGGCAAAAATGGTCAGAAATATATCTTGAAGAAAAGAAGATGGTCATAGATTTATAAAAATAAAAAGAGTTAGAAACTACAAAATATATAAGAAGAAATCAAATAAATTATTGTTCATTTTTTGCCGTTTTGTAAATTTCAATTTCCTGATGGATCAAAAATCCAGATTTCAGTGAATTTCTGAAGCAGTTTGAAGTAATTCAATAGTCTCTTTTTCATTTCAATCCCACTTTGCAGATAGACGACCTTAAGATCAAAGTTCAGGACCTGATGGGAAAGTTCAAGAAGCCCGTCCTGAGGAAAGTGCGAATGTCAGCCGACGCCATGCTGAAGGCTCTGCTGGGCTCCAAACACACGGTGAACATGGACCTCAGGGCCAACCTGAAGCAGGTCAAGAAGGAGGCCAAAGAGGAGGTGAGGAACCAGCTGCAAGGCTTTCTGTGTTTCATGAACCTATTTGGAAGGGAAACCATTTTCTTCACATGGAGGGAAACAGTGAAACTAAAAGTCATGGGCCTTTTCTTTCAGGATAAGGAACTGCGTGACGTTGGTGACTGGCGTAAAAACATTGAAGACAAATCTGGCATGGACGGGAGGAAGAAGATGTTTGAGGCCGAGGCTTAAATCTGTGTCTTTTCTACTCAAACATATTGCAGTATTTTTAGCCCCTGCATTTAAAAGGAAACCATTCATACAGATCAAAACTATTTTTTGAAACACTTTGTAGACGGTAGACTCTTTGAACTAATAAACAGCTACTGAAGAAGCCGCGTCTGTCCTGCTTACTGAGATTTGCACATTAAACAGTACATCACCCAAAACTTTATTCGATAAAAAGCTAGAAAATAAGATAGAAATTGAAAATATTCCAAAGTACCTAAAAACGTACTAAGTATTTCATTTTAATTACTTTCTTTTAAATAACTTTCTGATCCAGTAGATGTAGCCTTTGAGCACCATCAGTAAACCAAAACTGCTGTTTGGCCACACCTCCTCCATACTGAAGCCTCCGTTCTCCTCCAGAGACACACCTCCAACCCCTCGCCCCTCACGTTCTTACAAAGGGTTTAGCGCAAGCATCGTGGACTTGTCCTTTCTCGAGCTGCTATTGCCTGTAGCCTGTATTGTTGTGTTCACGGACGAATCATGCATTACCACTGAAAATTGTGGATGAAGTTTAGAGCAGTGTAGCCAACAGTTCAAGCTAGTCTAGCAAAACACAACAAAAAAAGAAATTGGTGGAACTTTTTGAGGAAAGCTTGACTGTCTGAAATCGCATACTTTCATACTACACTACAACGTGTATGCGAGAAATACTTGGATGAATACTATACTTGGCCAGAATTTACTAAACAGGAGCACACTGGTCATACTAAACCACTTTGTTTGAATTGCCCCCCGGGGACAAATAAAGTTTTTTGAATTGAATTGACTTGAATTGAAACCACCCCACAATGCATTGCGGCTCTCAGACTAGCCAATTGCAGAGCTCGCCAGCGGCATACAAATAAAAGTAACCATACTGAAATACATTTTATATGTTGCCAAATGATATTAAAATGCCTAAGTAGATGTATTAGTAATGAACTGATGTATGTTGTTGTTAAATTGTATTTGCGGACCAAAAGTACCAAGCCCAAGCTAGCTTGATGCTAGCTTATCCAACACAGCTCTAACCGGAAGTAAATCACATGACCCGTAGTTTAGTATGTTGCTAATAGCATGCTAACGGTTGGGTTAGTATGCGGTATGTATTTTAAGTATGTAGTAGGCAGTATGTTAGTTTGTGGTTTCAGACACGTTGGGTTACCTTCCGGGCACAGGGACTGATGACTACAACTGAACAGCTGGGCGGAGATCGGATGGGAAATAAATGTCAGTCGGACGGCAGCGAAGTAGAAGTCTGTTTATGCCTTTTTTTAGCATCCATCCCAAAATAAAGGACTTATGGGAGTGTATGGGTAGTGACAGTTGTATCTTTTAAAACTTACATGTCTATTTTCACAAGAAAAGGAAACATAAATTAGCCTTAAATCAGCTGTTTCTAATTTTTTACCAGTATTTGTGATAGGGTGACGATAGCTAGCTAGGAAATTTAAAAAAACAGAGCTTATAATGACAATTACGTAACTTTAATGTTTTGTCTTACTGCCATTCTGAGAAACATTATTTTAGAATAAGTAATGAACAATGTTCAATTACAACACTTGTGAATATTTAAAACGTGTAAACTTTACTTACAATGACAGACCACTAAGTATTTTAATAATCTGAGTTGAGGTTGAATTCACACATAGGTAGAAATGTATGGTTCGTTCTCTTTAGCTTGTGAGAATGTTAAAAAGCAGTGAACATGATCCGGCACTGAGTTACAGACCGTCTCTAGTTTCCTGCTTGTTGCTGTTTTATGAAGTGTAAAGTCTCTAATGGTGTCAGACAGACGCACCGTTTAAACTCTCAGGAAGAGGTGTTGCCTTAAACTCGTCATTAATGGAAATGATGTTGTAATTTTACAGTGAGGTGAAGAGAAATATAACCCAGAATTATTTCACATAAAAACATTTAGCACATTAAAATAACCCTATTAGATATATTAATCTTCCTAATGGAGACTTTAAATGTCTCAGATCCAAGTTAAGTAACTTATTTTTTGGTAGATTTTTTTTTAGATTTACTTTTTCAACTTTATATATCTAATTATTGTAACTCAGACTGATAAAGCTTAAGCTTTAAACAACTGTTAAAACCCCTTGAATATTTAATTTTTTACATTTCCGGAGGAAGACGACCCAGAGTTCGATGGCGGGATTATGATCTCGTTTGGCCTGGCCAGTGGTTAGACATCCCACAAGGAGGAGCTGGAAAAAATGTCTCAGATCCAAGTTAAGTAACTTATTTTTTGGTAGATTTTTTTTTAGATTTACTTTTTCAACTTTATATATCTAATTATTGTAACTCAGACTGATAAAGCTTAAGCTTTAAACAACTGTTAAAACCCCTTGAATATTTAATTTTTTACATTTCCGGAGGAAGACGACCCAGAGTTCGATGGCGGGATTATGATCTCGTTTGGCCTGGCCAGTGGTTAGACATCCCACAAGGAGGAGCTGGAAAGCGCTGCTGGGCAGAGGGAAGTCTGGGTTGACTTACTTTTCCTGCTGCCACCGCAACCAGACCTTCGTTAAGTGGAAGAGAATGGATAGATGGATGGATGGATTTCCAGATCAAAGGTGACAGCAGATAAAACCAAAAGACACACCTGAAGAAGTGTGAGCCTGTCATTTAAGGTAAGTTAAATGAACTGGTTTCAGTTTTAGTAGCTAAAGATCAGAATGAGAAAACGATTTATTGCCTAGTATTCATTTTTAAAATGTGCCTTTTGTGTTTTGGTAAAAGGAAGTCAAATATATATCTGTATTACTCAAAAATTAACTAGAGAGATGTGATAAATGTGTCGGGATTAGGGTTAGAGAGGGAGCTATACGGTGATAAATAAGCTGAAGGAAAGACCGTCCCCTTAGTGTTAACACAGAGCTCAGAACAACAAATCCAGAGGTAGTTTGACTTCACTCCCTTTTAAGGAAGGAGTCTTTACTCCAATATAAATAGAACTGGTATATACTAAGAATGTCACATGTGAAGCCTTTAAGCATTTTATTTATGGATTTAAGAACAGAAAGTGGGTCTCTAAGCTGAAGTTGTGTTGTTGTTGTCAGGAGTGTGTCCAGACTAATGTGACTGGGGTGGCCCAACAGGGAGACTGACTTATGCAGGGGTGGCCTGAAGTGTGATGTACACGTGCACACAAATTAATATAAATTATTTACCATGCATCTGGTGGAAGTTGGACGTGAGACAGCATTTCCAACATGGCGGTTGCTACAGATGAGCCTCCAGAGCCCCCTGCAGGAACAGAAGGGTGACTTCACTTAGTGTTCGTGCATTAATATTTAGATTCAGATCCCTTACTTCAGTAAAAGTACACAGCAGAATTACTCCTCTACAAGTAAAAGTCCTGCATTTAAACTTACTTAAAATGACAAAAGTATCAGCATCAACATGTAAGTAAGTACTCGCTGTGCAGAATTGCCGCACTAAGATTGTTTTATATATTCCAAATATGTTCATTTATCGCGATCAGCCACGGCCAAAGTCTTGAGAAACGGTCAAATCAATGTGAGCTGTTCACGATAATTTTTCCCCTAATATTTATCTTTTTCACTCAGGATTTTGCATGTGAATATAAAGACTACGCTTTGATGTTACGATGTTATTCCTTTCTGTCTCTTAACCCTGTCAGATTATAAAACAATTGCACATTAATTTTCTGTAAACTGACAAACGGATAGTTCATAGAAAAATAAAGACTTATAAAGCTTTAATTAGTGGCAGCATATCAATGAGGATTCATCTACTATTTCTATTTCAGGGCCACAAGAACTTAATTAGAAAATGCCTCTGGTTTAATCACTTTCCTGCATTCTGTCCGTCAGAAGCTTGATGCCGCCTGATAAAACAGATAACAATCCTAAAGGGCGGGTTATTTATAATGAGGCGAGCGGAGGGGGCAGACGACACTGTACTGTATTTCATGACCTTGCCAGCTGATTGGTTTGACCACTAATCCACTTCCATAAAGAGAAAGTGGAGGATTTGGAGGGCTATCAGAGATTGCAATATATAGCTTCTAAAGTCTTGTTCAGGCTGGGGCTCGATCTGTGTCTCGGTGACTTTCGACAAGCTGAAACCTCTGCTCCGGTAAAGTAAGACCCTCTACCTGAGTCTGTTAATGTAAATGCTGTTTTAGAAGACGAGGTCTGACTGCAAGGCATCTCTCTGATGTTTGCTTCTTTGCAGCTTTAAATGCTTCATTGTGTTACTAAAAAGGTTAGTTTAGGTTTCAATTGTCAGAATAAAATATTGATTATCCAGATTTGATTTATTTCCTGAGAGATGTTTTGCCGTGCGTCTTGGAGGCTCTGTAAAGTGTGCCTGGTTTGCTCAGTTTATAAACGCAGTAAAGTTAGTTTGATGTTTTTTTTTACACGTTTTGGAAATACTACATATTTTAGGTGATGTTTTTGTTGATTGAATGAATACGCTTGAAGTTTAAAGTTGTATCCTATTTCTTTTAAGTTTAAGTTTTATTTTTTCTGCATTCCTAAGGTGAGAGGAGTAGATTTTTCGGACACATACACGTGGCGAGCCGATGATGTACGATGTGGTGATGTGGCGCTCTGAAAGTCAACACCGCTACAAGGCTTGAACTTGAAAATCGATCCGTCCGTGTTTATCCTCCTGTCAGCGCTGAGGGGGTCGGAGGAAAACCTGGTCTAATCTGCAGCGGCTGCCAACGCCGGTCTCTGTCATCACGTTACGCCTCCATTTAATCCCCCGCACGCCAAATTTAGACTCCAGAAGAATTCAGATGTTCATGCGACAACAAACACATACTTTGTTTTATAGGATAAGGTGGTTCATACTTTGAGATCTCTTTTCTCATGAAGGATTTCGATTTTTGTCTTTTTTCCTGAGTTTATTGGACATCACATTTTTGCTTAATTAATTCTTAAATATAAGTTGTGAGTTTAAGGTTATTCAGAAATATATAACCAAATGTATTCCCGTTGCAATAAAGGTTTTTAGATTAAAACATGCAATTTTTATACATTTAAAAACCAGTAGAAAGTTCCTTAATAATGACATTTCTTTTGACCGACTTTGTTTTGATTTCTGAAGTTCAGAGACAAAAAAAACCCAGAATCATCTTCTTTTAAATGCACCTTTCTGTTTTTACATTTAGATGCATTTGTAACCTCTCGTCCGTATCATTGTCCTTAGTGTGAAGCAGATGAACCGTTCATGAATCTGAGGTCAGCCCCGACAGCGAGTTATTTTTGCGGTATGCTCTCATGGCTTGTTTGTCCGAGGGATGTTCTGGGGTGTTGAGTTACCGGAAACCCTTCAACTCTCCCTCCCAGGACAATCCCCAACACCCACACACATCCCTATTTAAGACAAAAATCAGGGCCAAATTTAACCCCGCAGATATTATACCATCTCCAGAGCAACATATTGTTTTGTCCTCAGAGTTTTGAGGGTCTGAAAATACACCGTGAGCCCTGGAGATACCCCCCCTCTGGCTTATTATTAGTTTATGCACGACCGCCATTTGTTCCTGGAGCTGCATCGGTCGTCAAACGTCTTTTCTTTCAAGAAAAGCCCTCTGTCATTCTTCTCTCTCCATAATGAAGACGTTAGGAACAGCTGTGGCTTCAGGAATAGAGACTTAATCCACTGCTCGTCACAACGCTCAAATATGACAAACAGTTCGGGCAGCGACTGTCTGGCCTCTGAGTACCTCTGAATCCTCAAAGCCCCCCCAGGCTGGGAACTAAAGGGGTCTGTTTACTCGGTCTAATGGGATCTTTTCCCGCAGAAGTAAAGATGGAAAGTCTCAAAGATAGTTTTCTCAGTTTGTACCATTTGAAGTTCTACTTGATTGTTTCCATAAATGCCATTTTAAACTCATGCTAAGCAACACTTTAGATTTCCCTTCATTATTTTAATAGTCATAGTAACTGTTTGAGACATTACATTGGCACAAATTGAGTTTCATCTTCAATTGTGTGTTTTCATTCGTGAATAATCACTGAAAATAAGATTTCTCGAGTTTGCATTCACATCTGCAGTGAGTGGGGAGTTGGTCCTCGAAGACAGAAATGCTTCTACAGAAGTTGAGAATGAAAAAACAAAAAGAGGCACTAGACTAGACAGGGCCTTTGGTGTTTTGGTGTTCAAGTTTTATGCCTAACCTAGGATTTCCCAGACGGAGAGGGTTAAAAAACGGCGATGTCATTTGGTTGCAGCCTTACTGCTCAATCAAACTGCTCTTGTACTTAAGAAATTGAATGCAGGGATGTTGCTTGTAATTTAGCATTTTTGTTGTTTCTTTTGGTACCTTTACGTGCATTGATAGTTGTTGTATTCGTACTGCAACTTTAAAAACCCATTTACCTTCCATATTGTAAACTTGTCTATTGATACTAAATGTTGAAAATTGCCTGACTTGACAATCTTTAAGGGTATCAGACACGGTAGCATTTAGCATATTAGCCTAACTAGTGTTAGCTAAATCTTACAGGAACAAGCCTTAATAAAATGCCTACTAATAGCATAACACACACTGCACCAATCTGAGTTTAGAGCTAATACATTTAGTTTGATTCAATGCTAACTTTTAGCATGTTGCATATAACATGTTACCTCAGTTGTTACCTAGTAGCATCTTTCCTGATGGTTTTTAATATTTAGCATCTAGCTCTCTGTAATGCTTATTTTTGCATGTAACCATATCTTCTGAATACTTGATAATTTGCATAAATACATTTCAATTACATGTATCCTGTTACAGGAAAATGCTACACCTAAAGCAAACAAATAGCATGTCGGTATGCTAATGTCAGCATGTTACCATTAGACTCCCAAGTTCAGCCTGGGCCAAAATGAAACCAGTGCTCAGTTTGAGAGGCATCTTTTAATTAATTAAAAAGTTAAAAAAGTATAAATATGACCTGCAGGTGGCGCCTAAAGATCAGTTAAGAGGATTGAAAAGTCGACTTACCTCTGTGGGCTGTTAAACTTAATTTCATGTCAGAAGATGTTGAGATATTAAACTTCACTTCAGTGTTGGACCACTGACCCCGGAGCAGCCACGCTCTAAAAATAGGGTTCAGTCCTTTAAGACATTAACACGGCCTCGGTTACAAAGTTTGGCTGCATGAAGTTTCCTAGAATTAACATTTAGTCTTAAAATAGAATAAACATGAGCCTTTAATGAAATGTGAGACAGGTGAGTTTCTTCTGCAGGAGATTCAAACGTGAAGGAGTTTGATACGGAAACAGAAAAATGAGACTTAAAAGAAATAGGAAAAGTTTGCAGCAGAGGAAGGCTGGTGTTATCTATTAATGTTTTTTTTTACCCTCCACCAAAGTGTGGTGCCGTAAATCTTCAAATAAAAGCCCATCCCAATTTAAGGCCCTGTCCTGTTTACCAGCCTGGTGTTGCTGCTCGTCTCGACAATAAAGGCAGGTCCCAATGAGAGGCCATGATACCTCTAGTGTTGAAATAGTTTGCGGATCCAAGAGAAATAAAGTCGGTGGTGGTGATACCCCCCACCCCCCCATTGAGTCTAGACCCTGGTGATGTTGGTGGTCTTACCCCCCTGATGGAGTCCAGACACTGGTGATGGTGGTGATACCCCCCTGATGGAGTCTAGACCCTGGTGATGGTGGTGATACCTCCCCATGGAGTCTAGACCCTGATGATGGTGGTGATACCCCCCCATGGAGTCCAGACACTGGTGATGGTGGTGATACCCCCCTGATGGAGTCTAGACCCTGGTGATGGTGGTGATACCTCCCCATGGAGTCTAGACCCTGATGATGGTGGTGATACCCCCCCATGGAGTCCAGACACTGGAGGTGGTGGTGATACCCCCCTGATGGAGTACAGACACTGGTGATGGTGATGATACGCCCCTGATGGAGTTTTGGCCCCCTGGTGGTGGTAGTGATAACCCCCCCCCCCCCCGATGGAGTTTTGGCCCCCTGGTGGTGGTGGTGATTGAGGCAGAATCTGGTTGGTTTATTACTTAAAGAGTAAACACCCAAAATCAGCTAATCACCAGAGCAGGGCAGTGGAAGGAAAAAGAGTGAATGTGTGAGAGAATAAAAACAGTCCTCCTGGTTAAACTCACACTGAGCTCCATGTGTACATATGTGAGACAGAAGGTTTATGATCAGCTGGAGGATCGTATGTCTGTGCATCCACAGAATGTGTGCTCGGCCTCTCAGAGTCTCCTCATGATGATCCGGGTAAAGACTGAACAGATTTAAGCCTCAGTGAGTGACAGGAGGGATGGGAACAACTCTGCTGCTTGGGCTGGCTTTAGAGATAGAAATAAATGGGGAAATTATGAAAACAAAAAGTTTTTTTTTAATCTCTCATGCAAAATTGTTAACTCTATATAACATGCTTTAAACAACTACAGACATTTTGGTATGTGTGATGTTTGCACAGCTCCATAGACCAGCACATCAAACTTTCTGGTGTTCATGTCATTTCCATCTTTGCTGGGCATGAGTTTATTGATAGTGATAGTGATTTCAAAGACTACAGTTAATAAAAGCCCGGGCTGTTAATTGAAGATTTACTGTTTATGACTCTTGTGAAACTTGAGAGCTTGTTGTGAGACCATTAAAAAGTAGATTGGTCTGATATGAATGCATGGCTAGGGATTAATCTTGAGAAGTGCACAAAGTCGTAAGTGTAGTGCTGGTAACAATACAACAAAGGAGGACTGTACCATAAATGCTCCATAAATAACATATTAATATTAAAATTAGTTCTAATGCTCTTATTTGTGTGTCTTTTTAAACAGGTAACATCAAGATCCTGCAGCCAAGATGGCAGACGAGTAAGTAAAGAGTTTAAAATCAATCCATGTGATTAATTTATTTAAATCTGTTTCATAGCGAGGTCGGTCATAAATGCATTAAAGGAAGTGAAGTTTGGTGTGAATTTTGCAGATGATTAAGAGATCAAGGGATTGCTCTTTAGTGCAGGTGAAGGAACCTTTAAACTTAGCAAATATTTTATTACTGTGTGAAGTTTAAAGTAATAAAATATTTGCTGAAAGAACCACTCTGACACCTAGTGTTTAAAATGAGTGTTGCAGTCCAAATTCTAAACATTGTAGAGAGCTGTCTCCCCCCCGCCCCCTCTCTAGAGTTGATGCTCATGCTGGTTGCCATGTGTGGACACTGAAGCTTCAGTGTTTAGCCAGCTCTGCATCAGTCTGTAAACCTTTCTGTGTTCTGACCTCTCTCCATTTTTCAAAAGCATCTCCAATATTGATCCTAGTTTGAGCACGTTTCTGCTCGTGGAGCTTATTAGAAACATGCAGAGGCTTTTTAGGTCGGGTACAATCACTTCTATCTGAACCAGTTCTCTTGCCCGCTCCCATCGCTGCAACACCTGTTGGTTTGACCTGATAACTGCTCTCATGTATGGCAAACCGAGGGGCGTCCAAAACGGCCGTGTGGGGGTGCATTAAAACTGCCTACCTTCTCTGGTCCAAACAAATCCAGAACATTCAGGACCAGAAAAAGTTAAAGTTAGAAGGAGGACATACTGGCTGCTGCATTGTTGTCAGAGAAGCCAGCACTTCAACATAGCATGTTTCCTTAACGTCTGATCATATAGTAAGTCGTATGATCATATAGTAATGATTGGACCTTAAAAAGCCTTCTGTCACTTTATTCAGACACAAACCAGATTCAGATTGGATTGCATATTCTTAAAATACATTTTAAAGCTGCTACTATTTAGCATGTTCACAATAAAGAATAAAACTGTTGTGCATATGATCATCAGCACCATGATACCATGCTCATTTCAACCTGTTTATTTCCTACATTTAGGATTGTAATATTCTTAAATTAAAGATACAAGCCAAACATAAAATATAGATAAAACAAATCAAATCATCATAATGTACTTCAATTTCATCCAGTCTGAGTCATGTTTTGTGTTTTGTGTCTGCAGGAAAAGACTGTCTGCGAGGCGTAAGCATACACTGAAAGTATGGAATGGATTTCTTTAAGTCTACTTGTCTTGTCTACTTCGACCATTTAGCTGAAAATACTTAACGTTGCATGACAACATCCTCCACAGAGCTGTATGCTGGTGGTGGCAAACAATCTGTTGGAGGCTGAATCAAATGTGAAGGTTGGGGAGAGGGAGAAGTTCCTGGCTGAGAAGTGTCCTCCTCTGGAGCTGCCGTACTCCAAAGACGAGCTCGAGGTGAGACACCATCACGACGGGTCACCTCAGGATTTACTGCTCTGGGTGTTATTACATGTTGGAGATGATTACTTTACTTCTGCCAGTAAATAGGCTTGGGACAGAGTTTATATATCACAATTGGACAATATTAGGGTTGCAGAGAACTGTTTGCCCCGCTACAATTGGATAATTTTTGGCTTTCTTATGGAGTGAGTCTTTGAAAATATTTAGCCTTGAGTCTTTGAAATTAAACTGGTCAAATTTTGAATCATTCTCAGCAAAACACTCTCAGGTAAAACTGTAACGTACTGTTTTACTGTTTTCTCTTCAGCAACTCTGCAAGACACTCCACGAACAGATTGACCTCAGTGAAGAGGAGAGATACGGCACAGAGTTCAAGCTGAACATGGTTCTGAATGAGGTGAGACTCTTTCCACGTCTGTTCAATTGTTTTGTTTGAATCTCTTTTTACAGTCATGGTTGTAGGCTGGTTGGACTCCTATGGGCACTGGTCAGCGTAGAAGATGATAGCTTCACCCTGTTGACCAAATATGGTCTCTAATTGTGCCAAAAAACCAAGATGGCGACGACCTTAATGCAGAACGAAATGCTTCAAAAGGGGCATTAACAAACTTATGGGTTTTTTATACTGTTCTTGGCTAGGAAGCCTTTTGCCCTAGAGCCGATTACTTGTTTCAACCAAGAGTACAAAAGCCAAGTATTCCCCCTACACTCAAGTCCTCATGCCAGACTTTTTTTTGTTAACCAGGATTCAGGACCAAGAATTGAGATACAGATTCTGATTTTCAAGAATTTCCTGGCCAAGACAGGCAGCAGCACAGAAGCAATTTCAAACACAGTTCAACATATCCAGGCCACAGGAGCAGTGTACCTGAAACTACTTTTCCCCATTTGAAGACCCTAACCCTAACCCATTTTGGGGACAGATGCAAATCAGAATATGATTGTCCAATCCTTTAGTTGAATACTTTATTTATGTTTCATAAAAGTCTGTAATGTTTCCTTCTGTCCTGATTCCATCTGCAGGTCAGAGACCTCAACATAAAGATTGTGGATCTGAGGGGCAAGTTCAAGAGACCCAGGCTGAAGAAAGTGCGTATGTCTGCTGATGCCATGCTGAAGGCTCTGCTGGGCTCCAAACACACGGTCAATATGGACCTGAGGGCCAACCTGAAGCAGGTCAAGAAGGAGGTCAAAGAGGAGGTGAGGACGCGGTTTCTTTGGACCTACACCAAAGCATCACACTCAACACAACCATCCATATTTAAACTGTAGTCTACATTCATAGGACAGTTCTCTGGTGTCTCCAATGTTGTCATTTTTCGATCTCATTGCCGCACAAATCTACACTGCTCCCAGTGATTATATGAATATTGCATCTCGTACACATATAGCTTTAAAGGGGACATGTTATGAAAAATCCTGATGAACAGTGTTTTTGAACATATATTTGGGTAACCTGAGTGTCTACAGATCCACAAAATGTGAAATAAACCCATCCAGTCCTTTGTTTGTGTTCTGCATAAGTCTTACAACAGAGAAAAATGCTCTGTTTCAAACGTGCTCTCCTGGTGACATCACAGTGGGATTCTGGTAAAAAAAAATCCCCTCCCCTCCCCTGGTATCTCCACCCATGGACTCCACCCCCAACCTAGAACAAAACTTTTGCACAGGTCTGACCTTTTTATTCTCTCTACAGACGAGTGATGTCTACCTGGAAAACTCAGGAAAGGGGCTCATTGTATTTAAAGAGACACACACTTCAAAACGGAGCGTTCTGAGAGAGCTGGTTTATACAGGGTCACAAACCTCCTCTGGTGCTTGATTCATGTTATATTTTGACCAAAGCACAGCACAGATGTGTCATTTAGACCACAGGGGACTGTTTGAAAAGATGGAAAAGGGGGAATTTTTTTTGAGGACGTGCACAATTGACGCTCCAAACCACTGCAGGACACTCACAGCTGATGTCATGCGTACGCATAGTTAAAATAAAGTATCCTCTGGGCTTTCAGGTCACTAATGTTGTGTCATCATTGATTACTCTGAATTGAATGTTTTCTGTGTTCACAGGACAAGCAGCTGCGCGAGGCTGGAGACTGGCGTAAGAACATTGAAGACAAGTCTGATAGGAAGAAGATGTTTGATAGTTAAAGTTGATCTGTCTTTAGTTGTTGGGCTTCTGAGTGATTTTCAGGACATGGTTCAGGTCTGACGTTTCTGTAACTGAGGAGTTTCATTCCAAAATATAGCAAATCCACTGTAAACCTGCCTGCTTCTTCAGAGCTGATGAGACAAGAGTGCTGTGAAGGTGATACAGATAAATGTTTAACTTACTATTAAATGAAGAAAGATGCATGTTTTTAGGCTAGTCTAATGGAACAGTAAGTCATAAATGGAAGTGGAAATAGCTGAGATTTAACATTATTTTTAATTTGCTGTGCTTTTAAAACCAACCAAGCATGGAGTAAAACTATCAAACATTGTGACAGAGACGAGGCGTCGTTTGGACCGTTTTTTTTGGATTTCTTGCTCTGGAACGAAACTCTTCAGTTAAATTTAAGCTGCCTTCTGCTTTAGCCTTTATCAACATTGTAATGTGATGTTTTTGTTATATGTTATGTCAATTAGTACAAGAGTGGTGTTTCATACATTTGCTTCTTTTTGTTAGGCTGACTTGTACTTCTGCATCAACACATTCAGTGATGATTCTAGAGTCTGTTGGGGCCCTGGGCAAAAATTAATTTGGGGGGATTCCTCCAACCCCGATTATATCCACCAGACAGCTAATTCCTCTTTTTCCTTCAGTGACTTTCATGGACGAACTTTGGTTTTCACAGGAGTAATACATGAGAATGCTAAGCAGGGCAATGAGAGTGAGTGCTGTCAGATGGGGCCCCGTTAGGGAGGTTCCCTACTGTCACTGCAAAATTTGCACATTTAGAGCTACTGCTGAGGTTTAAAGTTTGTGAGCCCTCCGGGCCCCTAGGTGGCCTGTTAGCAAGCAGCGCCTCTGAACACATTGAACATATTTTTCTCGTTACCTAAGGAATAGCATCGCTGGTTTTCCTGTGATTACGAGTACATCTCATTTGTTTACTCAAAATCTACGGGAGTTAACTTGTAATCAGGAGAAAGAAAACCAGTGTTGTTATCCCAAGATTAGTCGAGATCTTGAGAAAAAACCTGAAAATAACTTAACACAGGAAAACATGGTTAAATAAAAAGTATGGATGAATGTTCCTTTTGAGCTTCCGCATAGAAAAAAAAGCTGAAAATACACTTTATAGGATGTGTTCCATTTTCAGTTATGTCTAATAAATAAAACACATTTTACCATAACATGGTTGGTTAGGGTTTACCTAATCTTCAGAGACATTTTACAGCCCGTTTGTTTTCACAAGGGTTTCGGGCACGGGTAGAATTCAGGTTTGGGTATAGTTCCATTTAATTTAATGAATTAGTCTCATAACCATAAAGCTTTTCCATTTATCTGCCTCCATGTGACGCATGTTAGATTGAAAAGGTGAAATGTAAAGGGGGAAAAAAACTGGTGCTGCTGTTTCGTTAGCTTGGCATGCTAACGAAACATCTATATTCTTGTTTCTTGTCCTTGCTTGTTAACGGTCTGTCATGGGTGAAATGACTCAAAATCAACCGTCTCATTGCCATCCACATCAACTCCTGTTTTGCAGAAGTGTAATTCAGCCTCCTGTCTGTACTAAACAACATCATGTCATCTTTTCTAAACTGTTCAAACAGACAAGTGATGTACTTTTCTCATCTTGTTGCTGTCTCATTAAACACAACAGCTTTATGTTCATCCTGTTCATTGTCTTTTTCAATTTGTTTACGGTTTGCTTTGTAGGGCACTCAAGATCGATGTTAAAATGCTGAACAATATGTAATAAATTAGCTACATTAAAAGGGTTATCTGATTTGTTGGGGAGTTTTTTATGTACCTCAGGTCGCAAAATATGTGACAGCAGAGGAATGTAAAGTTACATTAGCATAAAGTTACAAGTGAGAAAACAAGCACCTGTAAAATATTTAAACCTGCCTGACTTGTATCAGATACTTTTGACAGAAAAATGTTGTCCTGGAAATGTTATCCTCTCATCCCTCATGCCTCAGCAGCTGACAACAACACACTCATGCTAACGTAATGTGAAGTTATGCTAACGTCTAATCACGCTAATCCCCAACTAACGAGACATTTAAAGATGAGGATTTAAAACTTTTTCAGATGTAAAAAGTCTTTGGTCACAGTTAAAAAAAAACACTAAATTGAATATTTGTTTTTTTAAGACAGATGGAATAATGACTGTCTTTTACTTGATACAACAGTAGTTTGTGCTCAGCTTTCGAGAATAGTTATAGTGAACAGTATGCTAACATTTCCTGTTATTGTAACACAAAGGTTTATCTAAAAAGAGGGATTATTTATGAACAGTCCCTTTAAAAACTGGGAACATTTACTGCTTACTTAAAACACTTTTTATAACATCTTTTAACCTTCCTTGGAATTCTGGATAACTACTGAATAATGCAACTCCTTGGAATAGAGTTGCATTATTTTCTACATTGAGATACATTTTTTAATTAACAGCTGAGTTGCAGAATTTCTCCAGTTTTAAGAAATAAGGTGAGATATAAAGCTTATTAATTACATTGAATAGTCATGTTTCTAAAAGTATAACTGTCTCATTTTCTCTTTTTGCTCTTGCAGATTATCTAACATGATGTGGTGAGGTTTGCAGCAGAGGTAGGTTTGTTAACTTCCTGTTTTTCTCAGTTAAACCCTCTTTTACCTGATCCCTTTGCTTACATTAGATGAATATATAAATGAGGACTGCAAACTACTTCAGGCAGACAACTCGATGCAATAATACATGCACCATTATCCACAGTCACATGACAACACCTCTTTCCACCTCTGCTCTGTCATTGCCCGCTCTGACCTGCATTCTTGCCTAGCCCCACCACCACCCCAGAATCCCACTGAAGGCTCCGACTAAGATATTCCTTTTACTCCTTAAAGGAACAATATGTAACTCTGACACCTAGTGTTTAAAATGGGTACTGCAGTCCAAATTCTAAACATTGTAGGGAGCCGTCTCCCCCCGCCCCCTCCTCTCTACAGTCGATGCTCATGCAGGTTGCCATATGGTGGACACTGAAGCTTCAGTGTTTAGCCAGCTCTGCATTGGTCTGTAAACCTTTATGCATTCTAACCTCTCTTCATTTTTCAAAAGCATCTCCAATATTGATCCTAGTTTGAGCACGTTTCTGCTCGTGGAGCTTATTAGAAACATGCAGAGGCTTTTTAGGTTGGGTACAATCACTTCTATCTGAACCAGTTCTCTTGCCCGCTTCCATCACTGCAACACCTGTTGGTTTGACCTGATAACTGGTCTCATGTCTGGCAAACCGAGAGGCGTCCAAAATGGCCGTGTGGGGGTTGCCTTAAAACCGCCTACCTTCTCTGGTCCAAACAAATCCAGAGCATTCAGGACCAGAATCTAAAGTTAGAAGGAGGACATACTGGCTGCTGCATTGTTGTCAGAGAAGCCAGCACTTCAACATAGCATGTTTCCTTAACATTATCATATTAATCATATAGTAAGGTCACTTTATCATTTCAGTCACTACACATCTTACTGATTGGACCTTTACATTTATGCATGTAAAAAGAACTGTGAGGGGTGATGCAGTCGGAGACGAGAACACAGACTATGTTCAGTTGCTGCGATAAATATTTTAAACAATACAAACTTGAGTGTTCTGACTGAACTACCGACATTTTTCGAAGGGTTAGGGTTAGTGGGGTGCAGTTGTTTCCAGCTCCATAAAAAGAATACGACACTAATACGACAAACCATGTTTCAGAATAACATTAGAAATGTATTATATAATCATGCATGGCTCCTGTTTTGCACCAGCCTGACCTGTTGGCACCTTAGAACCAGCAACAACAAAAAATGCTTTTGCTGTATTCCTGCTCAGTAAGCAGTCTTACATAATGAACAGTGATGCCAGAAGAATATAAAACAAGGCGGTCAGGCATTTAGCCTTAAGGCTTGTGTTTCGTGGCCCCACTTGGTCTCAACGATATCATGTTACAGCACCTAAGTCTTGTAAAAGTCCTGATGTCAGCCTTTAAGCTGGACTCACAGTTAAATATGAGATGATTCAGATTCATGGTCGCACCTTGAGGTTGAAATATGTCTATAATCTTCATCTCTACTTTGGATTAACACTTCACAGCCTCGACAATGTCTTGTGTTTGGCATGTTGTTGGTCACAGTTATTGCAGGTTATATTTGACCTCGGCTGATGGTTGTATCATATCCTCAGATAACAGCTGCTTCCTCACTTAAGACACCAACCAGATTTAGAAATGAGCAGCAGAGCTAAACGGTAAATGGACTTGAGTTTGGCTATTTATTTTCTGGTCTTCTGACTACTCAAAGTGCTTTTACACTGCAGGTCACACATACAAATTTGAGAGGAATCTGGCTGCAGACCGCCACTGTCAGCTCCGGAAATACACGCAAATAAAATCGGCTTGCACTTCCGGTTTAGAGTTTTACGCCTAGTCCTATGGTCTAGTAGTCCGATAATAGGAATGCACATAAAATATTATCAAGTCAAATTGGATACGTATTTTTCTCTAGTGTAACCGTTGCAAATTTCTTAAAGTATCTGTTAATCTATTCTTTATGACTTTCACGGTTTACATAACTATTTACAATATATTTATTAAGTGTTTCTAATGACATGCCCACCAAGTACGATTTTACTCATTGTCATTTATGCAACATTCACAGTGTGCCATATACCCTCTATTGTCAACAATTTATTTCAAGAACTTAAACATGTCCTCCATGTTGTGAAAGATGAACTTGAATGGCTCCAAGATTTCTTCCCTCTCATCTTCTTCAATGGTCTCTCGCATTGCTTCAACCTAGAGCTTGGCAAACTGCTTTACAGCCTTTGCAATCACCTCTTTGCCAGGCAAAGGGCACCAGGCAAGTCCACTGTGGCTGCAAATTAATGTGGGTTTGCTGGAATCCATTCTGCACCTCTTTTGCAATGGTGTACAATCTTTTCTCAGGTCTGTGGGAAGTGTTGACTATACACTGCTTGTTAGAATACCCCATATTGGGTATCCCTCTTCGGTAAGTATAGACTGGAAAAAATACTTCCTCTGTTGCCTTCACATCTTTTTGAAGAGCGCTGTTAGCCTGCACAGCCTCGAGTTACTCCTCCTCCTAAAAAAAAACAGGCATTTTTCTATTCATAATAACTTTAAAACATCATCCTCTTTACATTCACTGTGCATTATGGGTTAACATGGAAAGAAATTTAGGTAAAATAGTTAGTTTTAAAAAGGTGCTTTATAAGTATGAATATTATTATTAAGATTATTAGTGGCATATGAGTAAACTAAAAAACAAACAAATACAACCTAGTATTAAACAAAACTGACCTCAATAAATGTCATCCAGCTTCCACTTCAGTCAGTGACAAATAATAATTAAGTGTACACACACGTTATTAGGAATCCACACACCTATACAAATATTTTCTATCTCATGCAGACTTACCTTCACACGGAATGGTATTTTTTGTGTGATGATGTCCAGGTGAATCTGAATCTTGTATACTTTTGACAGTTTATATTTAGGACCAGTGGGCAGTGATATCGGCTGTGCAGGGTTCAAATTATTAAACTGTTAAGCAACATCTCTTCACAAAACGTTTAATAAAGCCAAATACATAGTACTCCGACAGAAAATACGCTTGCTCTCCATTAAAATGAACATAGCTAACGCTAGCCACCTTTCGCGTAACTACTTTTAAAATGATAAATACGTCACTCATGCCACATTCGGTTACTTGTTTGATTGAAGTCTACAATTATCTAAACAATACAAAGTTGAACAGATGCAATTTCCGTTGCATAAATACGTTTTTCGCTGTTTTGGATAATAAGGAATAGTCACCTACAGTAATCTTCAAGAGTCTAATGTCAACATGAAATATGTCACTTCCGGGCCTGACAGTGGCGGTCTGCAGAGGCAGGAGCTGACAGTGGCGGTCTGCAGCCAGACTCTCTTGACAAATTCACACACAGATGGTAGAGGCTGCTGTGTAAAGAGTCCATCAGAAGTAACTAAATTCATACACATTGATATGACACTGACAAAGCAGCGGGAGCAACTTGGGGTTAAGTGTCTTACCCAAGGACACATTGGACATGTAGCTGCAGGAGCTGGGGATCCAGCTGGAAGCCCAACCTGGGGCTCTACCGACTGAGCCACAGCCACCCGACAAACTACAACTATTTTAAGCTTTATAATGTACATGGTCCTAACAAAGGATTAAGAACAATTGGCAACCTCCAGTGTTGAAAATAAAGCCAGTGTGGAAGTGCAAAATCCTGCAGTTCCTTGAGTGTCCACTAGAGGCTGTCTGCAGAAGCTCAGGAAGTCACATACACACCCATTCATAAAAGCCTGTTTTTCCAGTATAAAATGAACAGCCTGGTTCAAAACACCAAATAGGTCTGATTAGTTATTGTCCTGATTGACAGGTGGGCGCGATGTAACGGTTCGCCAAGAGGTCTTAAAACCCGCCTCAGCTCCAGCTCTCAGCCTGTCGTTGGGTTGACTGAAAGTCCAGCGCCCCCTGCAAGAACAGATGGGTGATGTCACTCAGGCTTTGTCCATTAATATTTACAGTCTGTGATTAAGAACTACATTTATATTATAATATTCCAAGATTGACTTTCTGTTATACATGTAACAACAATGGTCT